TTTATTCGGAGTAATTCAATATACTACACTAAACTCCTGCTAGACCACGACAGCAAATCCGAAAGACCACCGGAGAAGCAACTGTTTCTTTTCCCGTTTCCTATCCGCCATCGTGAGGGAGGTTGAAACGATCGCCGGGAAAATGAAGACCCGCTTCCCAACTCTCGCTTCCCTATTGCTCAAATCCACCCACCGCCCCTCTCACGCCACCTTATTGCCTCTTCATTCCCATCTTCTCAATCCGCAATCCTTCTCCTCCGCTTCGTCCATCCCTCCTTCATCCCCTTCTTCTCATCCATACCCGCGAACTTTGGAGGGATTGCGTAGCAGGCTAGCTGCCGAGTCGCCGACGCTGTCTGACTTCACGCGGCTCCAATCGGACCATGAATACTCCGTCGAGGTCGGAACGAAGAAGAAGCCGCTCCCGAAGCCCCAGTGGATGAAGGAAGCGATTCCTGGAGGAGAGAAGTACACGCGTATCAAGAAGAAATTGAGAGAGTTGAAACTGCACACGGTTTGCGAAGAGGCTAAATGTCCCAATTTGGGAGAATGCTGGTCCGGCGGTGAAACCGGAACTGCCACTGCGACAATTATGATCCTTGGGGATACTTGTACTCGAGGGTGCAGGTAATAATCTTGCTTTATGTTTTTCTTATGTAATAATTGTGGGGTATAAGTATTTCCTCAACCACAACCTACCCATCTACTCTGAGTTTCTCCCTATGAAAAATTCCCAGATTTTTCCAGCTATTTCCTTGCATTTTCAATCAACCATCCAAAGATACGACTCACTGTTTGAATGAGAGATATGTGTACCTAGTTAAAGACTAAAAGGTTGGAGGATATGTAGTCGGAGATGACTGGTTTTCATGGTACAATAATTGGAAAGTTATGTACTTTTGCTTAATTTGGCATTAATTTAGGACCTTCATTGTTTCACCTTTTATTTTTTCTTACTTAGTCAAACGGTTGAACCTATGTCATATGGAACTAAAATAATGTATTACAAGAAGCTTTGCTTAATTTTCTTATGTTTGTGTTCACTCCCTTAAACTAACACTTGTTTTTGTATTATGTGTCTTAGTGCAACTTACTCCGTATAATTGTTCGCCATTAGTTCACCACTCTACTTGAATGGTATACTTCAGATGGACTTAGCTTATGATGTTTTCTTGAATTTGTCAAGATAAATGTTGATCTTTTTTGAGCTAATTGATGAAGCAGAATCTAGGCCATTGGTTGTACTGGCATTATAAAATTAAAAATCTGTATAACGGAAAGCATGAAATCATTTCATTCCTTGTGCTCTGACACTCTAAATTTGACAGGTTCTGCAATGTAAAGACTTCACGCACCCCACCCCCTCCTGATCCAGATGAACCATATAATGTGGCTGAGGCAATTGCTTCATGGGGTCTGGATTATGTTGTGATAACTAGTGTTGACCGTGATGATTTACCTGACCAAGGAAGTGATCACTTTACCAAAACAGTGCAGAAGCTAAAGGAATTGAAGCCGGATATTCTTATTGAAGCACTTGGTATGAGTATTGTTTAAGCCAGATATTCGTACTGAAGCACTTGTTATCTATGTTATCTAATCGGAAATTATTAGGCGAGTACTCTCTACCCAAACATAAAGCTGGCTGTTTAGGTTACCTAATCATTCTGTATCAAAATCCTGAGTTAATCACGAGCACTCACCAATATTCACTACCAGGTGTCTAGTTTTACCCTCTGAGTAACTTGGTTGTACTAAAATGTGACAACCGAGTTAGGATTTTGAACTGAAGATTAGGATTTTGAAAACAGGACTTAATTTTACTTATTTTAGTAAACAGAAAAAGAACATTTACAACATGATCAACATCTTAGCTGGAAGTATGAAAGTCTAGGATTCAGTCCCTGTTTCCTGTTATGTTATGAGGACGATGGACATTATAGCCTTAAAGATATTTTGTATGCTTTAAATATGTGTTCTTTACTTTATAATGTAACAACTACTACATACTCCCTCCATCCCTTATAACTTTGCCAACTTTCCTTTTTTGGATGTCCCATTAACTTGGCCACTTTCCATTTTAAGTAAAGAATTTGTGGTTCTAGTTTATTCTCTCTCCTTTGCACAAACCTCAACCACGCAGTTTTTACTTTATTAATTTTCGTGCCGATCAAACTTGGCAAAGATATTAGGGACGGAGGGAGTATTCTTTTATGAGTATAAAAGCATAAAACTGATTATTCCTAGAATAAACGATATAAAAAACTTGTAATGATTGTATGCTTTTATGATATATATTATATATATACTCCCTCCGTATTTTGTGTTTGCTACAATAGGTGTTGGCACATTTTTTAAGAGCGAAATAGTAGGGGTAATGAATAGTGTAGAAAAAGTAGGAGAGATGGTATCAAAGTATGAAAGAGAAGATAAAAATTAGAAAAAGTAAGGGTAGTTGAGTATTTTTAAAGGAAAAACTTACCAAAAAGGGAAAGTGTAACAAATTTTTCAATACATCCAAAAATGAGGTGCTTCCGGGTCGAATTTTTTAATGAAACTTTGTGACCATGTTCCCCATGAAGTGTAGTGATTTCCACCAAATTTCAAATTAAAATTCAACCGAGAAATCAATTAAATGAAAATTGCGCAGTTTTTATATATAAAATGCAGTTTTTTTATATAAAAAATTCGACCCGGAAGCATCTCAAACGAAAGAGGCCTAAAATTGTAAAATTTAGGTCTACCTTAAATGATCATTGTCCTATATATATCATAGCCTAAATCGCATATATGTGTGTATATATATATATATATATATATATATATACATAACCTAATATTACTTCAATGGGAACAGTTAGTATAATAATACCTTATTTATAATTTTATATATAAGGACTCATATACCTTTATATATGTGTGAGTGCGTGCAATATTTACGCAAGTATTAAAGTATCTATATATAATATGCATGCATTAGCTAAAAAGCCTAAAATATAGTTACATTTATGTAAGTATAATAAAGATTATATTTTTAGGATATTCATGCACTAATATGTTATGTGAGTAACTGAATATAATATATTTTCTTCTTCTTACACCTCATATTAGAAATTTGACTTTCATATATAGAAGTAATTTGCAGTAATGAATTCTTCTTGGAAGTCTTACACGGATTAGTTGAGATTTGAGAATAATTTAAAAATTATTCTTGAATTGATGATGGATTTGTTTAAAATATTAATGATTCATACTAGTTTCTTATGTATTGTTATTTCTGCTATGTAGTGTGTATAACTTACTCAATCAATGTTACTAAAAATGTTGATTCATACGTAGTATAACATTTTCTAGTAGTTGACCGAGTATTTACTAGTCGGTCCTACTCGCTACTAGACCCTTGACACCTAGTAGCCGCTGAGTATTGATTTAACTATTTAGTTTGCTATGAATAATAATAATACTACCTCCTTTAATTGAACTCCCAAAATTTTTGGGCTCAAAGATTTAGACAGGGTGTTAAAAATGTTAGATTACCCTTGCCTTTTACCTTCCTTATTTAAGGAAGGTAAATTTTTGAAGGTTAAAATTGGAATTCATGTTAAAAAATGTCTGAAAAGGGAAATGGGACTCTTAGTTTGCACACACAAATTGAATAATTGGTACTTTCAGTTTGGAACAGAGGGAGTAGCCATCTTTGGAACGGAAGGAATAGTTAACTTATTCAATTTACCCTGTTTGTCTAACTGAGAAATTTCAGATTGTATATCTAAATAGTAAATTCATGTAAGAATTAAAGCCTCACTATATTAAAAGTAGCAAATCAGCACCTCAGCAGATCCTGGCATGTTAGCAAGTAATCAGTCATGGCTGGGATAGAAAGTCTATCAGAAGTTCTGTACTCCACTTATTTTTCATGGCATATATTTTTGATTAATGAATCAATTTGCTCTTCAAGTTATTTTGAATAGTTTACCTCTGAATGTATGCCTTCATTCTCATTGCTTGAGTTTGTTTCTTTATTGCAGTTCCAGACTTTAGAGGGGATCCTAGTTGTGTTGAGAAAGTTGCAAAGTCTGGATTAGATGTTTTTGCTCATAATATTGAAACGGTTGAAGAACTTCAGAGTGTTGTACGAGATCACCGTGCTAACTTTAAGCAGTCCATGGATGTTTTGATGATGGCCAAGGATTATGCTCCTGTTGGTACGCTAACCAAGACATCCATAATGTTGGGTTGTGGAGAAACACCTGATCAAATTGTTAAAACAATGGAAAAGGTGCGGGCCGCTGGTGTTGATGTCATGACATTTGGTCAGTACATGAGACCTTCAAAGCGGCATATGCCTGTATCAGAATATGTAACTCCCGAGGCTTTTGAGAAGTATCGACTTCTTGGGATGCAAATGGTTTGTATCAATCCATCTTCTTTTTCTTTCCTAAATAGTTTTGGGTGTTCATTGTAAATGATTTTTGTGCATGTCTCAGTTCTGATTGCCGTTGCATATTTACATATACATGATTTCTAAGGAAATCCTTCGATGTATGTTGTCCTGATGAAAAGTGAGAAAACAAAACTAACTGGAATCGTAGTACTATCCTCCGTTCTTTAATTCTTGCAACAGTTTGACTTTCACGTTTGCCAACACACAACTTTGACTGCAATTATATTTAATTATGTATTAGTAAACATTATAAAAAGTTGATATTTTGGATATTCACATTTATAGGAATTCAATAACATTTTATACATAATAATTTGATTATGTATATTAGAAGAAAATCGTGGTCAAAGTAAGATCTGTGAGTAGTCCAAAAATCACAATGTTGCAAGAATTAAAGAACGGATGAAGTATAACTTTGGTGGCATGTTAGCGGGACTAATATGTGGTCTTAACTCTTCATTCAAAACTAGAAGCTTGGATAGAAGTCATGGTAAAAAGTTTGTTTGTCATGTTATGTGATAAGATCTTCCAATTATCCAGAACAATTAACAGGAAATTAACAAGAAACAACTGAAATTTGTATTGATGAAGAAGATCGATTACAGTAACAAGGCCGAAGCCCCCAGATGAGCCGAAGCCCCCAAAGAGAGAGAAATAGTTCTCAATCTTCCCAGTCCCAAGACCTAAGTCCCAAAAGCCTCCTGGACTTCTCCTAGTTTATTCTATTTATACTAGTCTATTACACTTATTATTTTTCTTGGTCTAATAGGCCCAAATTTTTAAAGTCTATTAGGCCCAATTCCTAACAATACTCCCCCCCTAAACAACCACCTTGCCCTCAAGGTGGGTGATAGGACACAGCCAGCATCTTCTTCTTTTCCTTCATCCTAGCACCTCTCCCTTTCCAATACTGGATTGATTGCTGGACTTTTAGCTTTGCTGCTTTCATCTTCTTCCCTATGTATTTCACAGCGGAATTACACAGCAGCCAAGACATTTTTTTCAGCAATTTGGTTCCTTCAGATTCTGTGGAGGTGAAGTCACAGCCAGCTGCAACACCGAAGACACTTTCTTCTTCAATATCAATTCCCAGTTGATGATCTCCTTGTATACAAACCTTCTGCCCATGTACCTTCCATTCGATGGTCTGATTTTGAAAATTAACTACCATATCTCCTAGGCCAGTTAACCATTCTATTCCCAGCATCACCTCAGTTCCAACCAAGTCCAGAATGTAGAATTTCTGCATAATGTCAATTCCTTGTAAATTCAAAGTTACTCCTTCACATCTGCCCTTGTTGGAAAGAATTTCTCCATTCCCTATCTGCACTTCATAATCCTTGATGCAACTAAATGGTATCTTCCATTTATCCACAATCTTCTGTGATATGAAGTTGTGGGTAGCTCCACAATCAATCAAAATATTCACCTTCTTTTCCTCCTTCAGCCATTTCAGATTTCCCAGGACTTTGAAAGTTCTCATGAATGGTATTTCTTCCTGGCTCAATACAGATAATTGCATAGTCTTAGCTTCCATATGTATTCCTTCTTCTTCTTCTTCTTCTTCTTCTTCTTCTTCTTCTTCTTCTTCTTCTTCTTCTTCTTCTTCTTCTTCTTCTTCTTTATCTTTAATATAGTCAACATCAGATTCCTCCTCCCCTTCAGATTGTTCTACAAGCATCATTTTAAAATTTTTCATACTGCAAATGTGACCTCTACCCCATCTGTCACCACATTTGAAACAGAGTCCTTTTTTACTCCTCTCCAACAATTCAGTCTGAGTAAGCTTGGGGCCTAACTTGTTTGATACAGAACTTGACCCTTCCTCCTGCTTCTCATTGTCAACTGAGTGCTTCACAGATGGATTTGTAGATGTCAGGCTATAACTTTTTCTGCTACCATCTCCCCATTTGTTGTAGGCCTGTTCTCCAGACGTGTTACTCTTCCATAACTTCTTCCCTTCCTCCTTATTCCTCCTAGCCATCACTTCATTATTTTTATTCTCTATCAATAAAGCTGTATCCATGATTTCAGCCAAGTCTCTAGAATGATAGAGTTTTAACTCAGCTCTTATATCCTTCTTCAATCCATTTAAGAAGATGCCTTTAGTTACCTTCGTACTCAGATCACCTTGTGATGCTATTGCCATTTCAAACTGTTCACGGAATTCTTTCACAGTTCCTTTTTGTTTCAAACCTAATAAAGGCCCCAAGGGATTGTGTACTAGCTCTGGTTGGAATCTGCGAGTTAAGGCTTCCATCATAGTGTCCCAGTTTCTCTCGCGCGTCTGGTTCTCCCACCACTGAAACCAACTCAGTGCTCTATCTTCCATGGCGACCACTGCTACGTTCACTTTCTCTTCTTCCTCGATCTGGTTCAGACGGAAATATCTATCGATCCTCACCAACCATCCGTATGCGTCATCTCCATTGAATAGTGGTAAATCGATCTTCCTTCCCGTTCGATGGTGTGTGTTATGTTCTTGGTGATGTCGATGCCTGCGATGAGAAGAATGATCAGAACTTCCGTCGGATTCATCATTCTTCGTTGAATTTCGTGATCGATGTCGATGATTAGTGCGATGCGATGTCGAGGAAACATGTGATCTACTTCTCGAACGACCTGGAAGTCGATTCTGAATGTCTGCGAGGGTGGTCTGCATAGCGATCATCATCGTCTCCAAAGTATCCTGCCTTCCCGCGGCTTCTCTTTGGTTTCTTGCTATGTCATCCATGTTTCTTTCCACTTCTGTTATACGGCCTTCCATCTTAGCACGCGTATTTCTCATCCAGCGATCAACGTGCTCTGATACCAATGATAAGATCTTCCAATTATCCAGAACAATTAACAGGAAATTAACAAGAAACAACTGAAATTTGTATTGATGAAGAAAATCGATTACAGTAACAAGGCCGAAGCCCCCAGATGAGCCGAAGCCCCCAAAGAGAGAGAAATAGTTCTCAATCTTCCCAGTCCCAAGACCTAAGTCCCAAAAGCCTCCTCGACTTCTCCTAGTTTATTCTATTTATACTAGTCTATTACACTTATTATTTTTCTTGGTCTAATAGGCCCAAATTCCTAAAGTCTATTAGGCCCAATTCCTAACATTATGATTGGTTGATTGCTTTAAGTACATTGGCTGTTAAGAGTAACAGGAAAGCAGTATATAAACATGGAGGCCATATTTAGCGTCCCACTATCAACCACGCCAAATTTGGTGCAGCAATAGAATTATTACTCGTATTTTTTATTTTTAAAAAAGAGAGTACTCCTAGGATTACACATTTTAGTATATGTTTTTATATAATGAATTAATGAGTTGGAGATTAACTAATGTTACTGGACTAATTTTCTAAGATGATTCATTATAGTGTACTCTTAAACTTTGATGTTGAAGTTTTTCTATTTAGGTGTGAAATAATTCCAAATTCGGCGGTTTTGGTTGGAGATGACCAAATGATATTGAACTCGTTACATGGCAGTTGACGCCACTTTTGGTAGCAAGTATTAGATGGTTAATTGTCTTCACTAGGCTTCTTAATTCAAAACATCTTATGTGTGAAGCTTTAGATACTTTCTGCATTTCACTGGACCAAAAGCCTGTCTTGTGAGATATTAATTGTTGTCACTTGTCAGCCTAATTATTTTTACAGCCTATATTTTTACATCTATATATATAATAATGCTTTTAATAATTTCTCCCTCCGTCCTATTTATATGGTACATTGGCACAGTTTCCTTTTTAGGTTGTCCCAAAATATGAACACTTTCCTAAATTAATACTACTTCTTACCTTTTGGAGGTTACAAGGGTAAAAGAAATATATATTATTTACCTTTTTAAAACCCTTGCCAAACCCAAATGTATGTTGCATGGGTCAGAGGGAGTATATTAAGATACGTCAGTCAGGACGTCATCAAACTTATCCCATCTAGTCATTTTAGTCAAATTAAGTGGCTTACAAGCCAAGTTTTTTGATAAACTAACCTTTTAATAAAGGTGTCACCATTCACGAACACACTGAAGATTTGTGCACAGTAGTTCAAAGTATGAATGAAGTTTTTTTTTTTAAATTATTCCCTCTCTGCATGTTTGCCTTTTCCTCTTAAATCTGCCCCAAGATAATGTTCACTTTCCTTTATTGAAACACTACTAACCTGTTACTTTCCCAACTAACTCTTACCACTTCCAAACATGTTAAAATGAATTTATTGTGTGGATCCTTTTCAGAGTTAGCAAAAATGCTCCCTTACAACTTATCAGCTGTGTGAAATTGTTAGTGGATGATAATAATTTGCTTGTTCTAGATATACCAGTTGGAAACTTGGAATATAATTTGTTTTAGATAAGCACTACTTTATGTGCATGCACTGAGCTTTGCTATCTGTTATTACCAAATCAATTTTTTAATGTGAAAACTTGTCAGTAATGAAATGACTGCCTTCTCGTGTTCACAGGGATTTCGGTATGTAGCGTCTGGTCCCATGGTGAGATCATCATACAAGGCTGGGGAGTTTTACATCAAGTCTATGATCGAATCCGATCGTGCTGCATCTTTGCCCTAGCCCCCCCTTATTTTATGACCATATATTATAGGTGAAAGTCATACGAATAATCCCTACTTTATGGAAATCTACAATAATACTTCCTACTCAAAGTATTCATAAAAATAATCCGAATTAAATGGGTGTGGATTCAAATTAATGGGTGTTTAGTACTCCAACCCCTATCTCCACTTTATCAAATAGTGGTAAGAAGAACAAGGGTATTTTTGAAAATCCCACTTGCTAAGTCACCTTAAGAGGCAGAATGGACCTATGTAAATTTCATATAATCTTCTATTTTTGTGGGTGCCATCATGAGTTGAGATTGCTTTTGTAATATTTCAAGTACTGATTATTATTGTAGAATCATTGAAAGTAAGGATTTTTCATATGAATTTTGCCTATATTATACTCCATTACACTTTATTCAGCTTGCATTGATTCATTTACAAGTTGTTCACCCCCGGTTATCTTGGTGCAAGCAAGGTGGCCGTTTGTTCATCTGTAGCAAGATTAGCAAAATGGCAGGTATCACATACAACATAATGGATATATGCGTGTGAATAGTATGATATTGAACCCATGGTTGATTTAAAGCATTACTGTTCAAAATAATTTCTTGCTTGTATTTGTCATTGGTTGGAAATTGAATTTCAGATAGTACGTAGTACGTACAACTTGTTCTATTGGTAGTGCGTTATATTCTATAGGCCTCATTTGGAATTACTTCTAATTCATAGAAACTCTCTTGTTCCTGAAACTGATGTGCGCTGCACAGGTTCGAATACAGATATCTGGAAATTAGGGAATTCATGGATTTTGTCAATCCCTCAAATTGTGGTCAATCATGTTCCAGTGCCCGTTGGTTTGAGTAATTCCTGGGATTTTGGTGATTCATTTTACTCAAGATGTTATCTACTCCCTTTGACCTCTGTCCCATTTTAATTTTAGGCTTTTCTTTATGACCCGTTCCTAATTAATCACTCTCTTTGTTTGGAAGGAAAGAATTGTGAGGCTTGTAGTATTCTTTGCTTTCTAAATAAATTTTTATCACATAATTTCATTTCTTAAATGACCTGCAAAGCCAACGTGGGGAAAAAATGAAAATGACTTGATGGAAAGCATCTGTTAAAACTGTGGTTGATCGGAACAAGAGCTAGTTTGTGTAGTTCATGCTGTTTAGAAGTAGCCGTTTGGTTTCTTTTCAGTGTGCCAGTTTATTTGCTGTCAATGTAGAAAGTTTTGTTTAAGCATCCTGTATTCGTTGAGGATTTCAAATTATTGCATTGTCTATTATGTTTTCTAATTATAATGTTATCTTTACTATTATTATTGATTGTGATAGCAGAAGACTTTCCAAATGATTTGTACAGCTGTTTTCGTGGGTTGCCAAATGTGATAATTTGAACGGGGATTGCGTAAAGAACATCATTGTTTCCTGAAGGGATAAAGTGGGGACTATTGACCGTTAGGAATACATACCCTAGAAATGTAAATGGCCAGACAATCCTTTTCGGGATTCTTTAATTTTGAAAGTGATCACTTTTTTATAAGTAATGATTGTATATTCCGACACTTGAAGTTTCTTTAATGAAAGAGCTTGTTGGGAAATATTTGGGATGATTTAAATTTAGACACATATATGTAATGAGGTTCTATAAAGTTGGAAAATTGTGGATGTATGAATGTACTACTCCGTATCATTTACTTCAATTTCTTAATCCTTCAATTAGTCATGGACCCGGGCCGGGCCCGGCCGGGCTTTTTTTTTGGGAAGGAAGGCCCGGGACCGGCCCGGGTAGCCACCGGGTCCGGTCCGGGTCCGGGCCGGGCCGGGCCGGGCCTCCGGTTCGGTTATAATTTTTTTTTTTTTTTGCTTTCCTAACCCCCCCCACTCACCCCCACACCCCCCAAACCCCCAAACCCCTCCTAACCATCAAGCCCAACTTGGCTAACCCCAAAAAAAGAAAAAAAAATTAAAAAAAAATTAATTCGGCCCGGGCCCGGGCCCGACCCGGCCGGGCCGGTTCGCCAAATTCAAGGCCCGAGCCCGGACCCGGACACCCCACCGGGCCTAGGCCCGACCCGGACCCGAGAACCGGGCCGGTTCCGGGCTCGCACAGTGGCGGGCCGGGCCGGTCCCGGGCCGGGCGGCCCGAACCGGGTCCATGCCTACCTTCAATCAATCAATGCATTAATCAAGTCCCAACTCCTTAGCTTTGAAATCCCTTTGATATCCTCGATACAAATTGATTTTTAGAATGGCAAGTTTGCAACACTTTTGTCCATGGTTTAGAAAAGGATGACATCCCATTTTTGATGTACCCTTAGGACCGATCTTAAAGAGCTTCAATTTCGAGATAGAGAGTGTAGCTCAGTCTCCGGTCATTGTTTAAATTTGAACCCGAAATCTCTCCCTTATGACACATGTTTCTATCAGGTGAGCTATGACCTCGATATTTTGTCCATGGTTTAAATCCATATAGATGAGACATGTTGAGAGTATAGGATTGGATTGTCATTCCACCATCGGCCCATAGACGGGGTTTTGTTTAATTTTCGAAAATGGCATTTCTCCATTAGGTTAAAATAATATCAAGAACTTTTTATGATAAACTCTGTGGTCCCTCAATGTTATATACAGATAGATCAATTAAAATATTAGAATTGACAGTTCAAACATAAATAAATGATAAAATAATGTTGTAGATTGATTATATGCTTCGTAGGTACAGATCAATCATTTATTAGTGGGTTATAAGTATTATATATCCACCATTATTCATTTCTATTTTCTTTGTAGTTGTCAATATAATACCTAGGTACTACGTATTACATTTAAAGATAAAAAGAAGGGAAGGTTGGTGTGGTTCACTGGGTGATCACTCATTGTCAAGTCTCTCATAAGTGAGAGGTCTTGGGTTCAATTTCCATCTAGGGAAAACGAGGTAAGTCTTGCTCTCCATGATTCTGCCTACCTTCACATAGTAGCTGAACTGTTGAGGAGAAAAAAGATCATAATGTCGATAGAGAGTTCGTGTGGTGGGAGGAACAACTTGAAATGAATAGATGATGTAAATCTTGCTGGATTCATCATCATCATTAATGAAGCTGATTGTGATCTTAGCTTGACTAAATACAATGTATACCCGTTCAAGTTTTTTTTATAGCTGATTGTGATCAGATCTGAATTTATCTGTTTAGGTATAAATTCTGCAGAGAAACCAAATTTTTCCCATGACAGAGAGGTTTTGAAGTTGTGTGCCAACAATACCCCAATGATGTAAAACAAAGATACGAGCGATGAAGGAACTTCAGCTTGGTCATAGCATATTAATGTGGCAATCCAGTTAATTTCTCTACAATAAAAACCATGAAACAAGTGGATTTAGATAAGGTATTATAAAATGAAAATTAAGTTGGATATATGATTGTGGGTGGTACATCTA